GTCCTATTTTCAGATGGTACGGCTAATGCCAACGAACCAACTCTGCAAATATCTGGCTGGTAGTCCCATCGAACCGTCGTACGTAGGTGTGCAGGACCACGCATGGGACCTTTTCGGTTAAATCCACTTGCAGCATTGCCCATTACGGCATCCTTCTTTTCAACATACTGCGCGTGGGTGCTAATAGCTCCAGTGACTCAAAGATGGGCTCATGCCTTCTCGCTCCTGGAGGCTTGAGATTTCATCAGAATACCTCCACATCCGATTCGCTGAACGCATTTGTCCACTAGATTACCTTTGAACTCTACCATCCATTTAACGCTGTTGCTACAAAACATGCACGATGGTAGGGAACGGGATTTTCTTGCAAATTTGACTGCTGAATTTATGAAAAATGCCTCATGATGCCGGCAAGTACTTGGCTAATAATATGCGCGACACAACACCTAATGTAATTTTGCAGAAACATGCTGGTAACATCGTTAGTAAGTGTCGTTGGAGCCCTGAGTCCAGCCCCAAGTTGTGAGAATTTTCTGGCTAACGGATGTTCCTGACTAGCTAAGGGATGGCAGGCAGCTTTTCGGTTTCCTGAACGGATCTCAGTTTTAGGACTCACCGACAGGCGTTCTCCGTTCTCCCATTCTACCAACTCCTGAACAATTCCCTCTTGTGTGCATCGTTCCAATTCCTAGTTCCCATTACCGTTAAAGAAACGCAAAACATCTGAGCAGTCAACTAATCATCAGCATACTTTTTTTGTGAATCATTTATTAAGGTCAACATAAAAATCACGGATATAAAAAGGCTACTTCGAGTGAGATATCAATAAGTGTTTACTGTGCCTGCAAGAACAAAGGGGAACGGGACAACGGAAGAGACGAAACCCAAGGAAATATGTTGGGCTGAGATCGTGTTCAATACAAACAACGAGGAGTCAGTCGATGGATCGATTGATGTGTCTGGTGGTGAATATTTAGACTGTTTAATGTGTGAAACGGTTAGTGTGACTGATCGAGGTGTCTGGAGAGTTCAACGATGCACCTAGGCATGTTCCGCAATGCAGTTTGGTTGATCATCCGGGCATCTGCAAGTGCGAGACGACTCACGTCCACCTGGGAGACAGAAGTAGCGGCAACGACCATTTTCATAACTGCATGCGTTCGTCATTGCTAAACACAAAATAAAAAGTGTTAAATAAAAAAATGAGGTTTGACATCACGAATCAGCATTGTGTGTGCTTACAACGCTTGCAGACATTGTGTATGGCCATTGACTGAAAGCCATTTGAACAGCACACACCCTTCACGTAGACCAGCGATGATGGGTTGTGAGATTGATAAGTCCTCCTGCGGAAAAAGCAAATCCGCTTTAAGTAGGGGTTCAGAGTGCTAACCCGAGAAAAGGAAAAAAGGTATGCTTCTCCAACTAACCGGTACAGATTAGTCCAGAAGATGGCGTGGTCGTCCTGAGCCAAACCACATGAAGGCTCCTCACTTGTGTCAAAACTCCGCAGAACACTTTTCGAGTGAATATTCCTACCAGACACATCTAATTGCGCACAGTGAATCTCACTGCGGGAGTACGGCAGTAGCTGGCGGCGCTGCAGCCAGCAAAGACGACCTGCAGTGTTTCCAGTACCCACGATGCCGTCGGAAACAGCAAGGCTCATCGAGACAGGTGCACCGGTCACTCGAACAACCTCAGAGACACGATTGGGATCCGCCATAGAGGCGACCATGATAACACTTTCTTTGACTGCTGAATCCGTGCTGTCTGCCTGAGCCCAGTAAACCAATCTACAAGATACACAGGACACAAGTCAAAAAGTTTGTCATGTGTTACAAGTTCTCACACACATTAGGCGTGTGTTGTGAATTACGCTGATTCATGTGGAATCACGTTAATTCCACCAAAACACGATTTTACTGAACTGGCAGAAGACACGTGGCAACATATTCGCCACAAACACCATAAAACATGATCCCCGTCAATGGTATTCCATTAAGTGTGTGCCATCCAGACCAATTTGAGGAATCCAATCCACAACATTCCAGTGCAACCTATCATTGATGCAGACTTTCAAGCGTGCATCAAATAGAGTGCTTTGAACCGAACAAATGTGCCTTCGACTTGTGACTCTGAATGAAGACAAACTCCTCGAGGGCAAATAGAGACTATGTGGAATCATAGGTGATTGGAACTATGGTAAGCCTTTTGCCATGGCGAAGTGCCACAAAGTAGTATTAAAGCAGATTTGAGTTCGGATGGTATGGACGACTAGGCCAGATGCATTTCGTGAAGTTGGTTCAACTGCTTGTCAATGGGTGTCCACCTTATTGACGCATTAATGTGCTCATTAAAAGACATAACTTACGACAGTCCTGGGTGTATGGCAATACCGCCAACAACGAAATCATCGTTGGATGTGCGATTGTAAAGCTTCTTGAAGGTGTACATCTGGTTGGGTCGCCCGGGATTGACTACCACGATTCGCTTCTGCTTGTCATCGATTGCAAAGACATTGCCTGAAGTCGGGTCCACAGCAATCCATGTGAACTTGGAATAGGCGTCATGGACAATGAATTCTGGCGGCTGACTCAGGCGCACTGCACTAGCATTGCCGAAGCGCAGAGCATGCCCCGAATCACTGGTGTACACCAAATGGTCAGCCTTGCAGTCTAGTGCCAGCGCCACGCGCATGTGCTTGTTGTTCTCGGCTAGACAGGATAAAAAGTTGTAGTGAATCGTGTTGATTCTCGTCCAATAACCCAGTCGTCGCAGCTTCCAACACACGTCCACCCTTTTCACGGCGTGCCAGTCGGTCACGTGAGGCCGCCGGTTCATTAACCCCTCTGCATGTACTACCACCACCCGCTTTATTCATGTGACCTCACAGACCTCACAGTGTGTATTTTTACATGTCCACTCAACTGTAGCAGTAAACGCGACACAACGTAGTTGAGGTGCCTAGTAAACAGTCGTGCCTGCCATCTCTGAACTTATTTCCTGCCTGGGTTACTTTGTGTGGTAAAGGGCCTCAACAATGTGTCATGATTCTCCTCTGCCCACTGTTCAAGTGTGCCTCTTGACGCCACCACATTCTTTATGGCTCACTCAGACTCTAGCCGCGCGTCTGATGTTCACATGCCATATAGACCGTAAACCAAATTAAAAACAACCAAGTTGAATTAATCCAAGAAAATGGCAGTGAACAGGAAAACTGGTAACGACAACACGCAGTCAAGTGTTACGGAGTTAGGAAGGCATAACCCTTGTTCTTCGAAATCATTCTCCATATTGGTGGAAGTGCACTCTTGAACATGGCTTCCTGGTGCCCACAACGCTTGCCAGTAGCCTGAGATCACCGATGATTTGTTACCCTTGCGACCACATTTGTGAATATCCCACCGGAAGTTCTTCCTTAGTCTCGGACATGCACACTAACAATAACTCCGCAAAAATATTGTTAGCTATTTCTGGCCTCTCATGAGGCTTACCCAAGTGACCCGTGAGCGCCGCCCATTACCCATTCGACTCGCGAAATCTCATCACAAGGCCGTTCAGTTAATTCAAAACGGGCAACTGTTTTGACTTACTCGGACGCTACTTAAAAGGCCCCTACAAATACGTATTAAGCTGGATTTCTTCATCTGAAATCCGCGTTCATCTGGCTTACAAACGTTGGATTGTAGGTTGCATCAATCTACCAAGAGGAGTTTGCACACTTGACATGGAGCGGCGTAAGGGTCAATTGAACTGACCCTTTGCAAAAGACATTGTTTGAACAAAATTCGCCACAATGAAACCTTCTACGTATCATGATCCGCACTTGCTCGTGTTCTGGCATAGTTGCTCCGATAGTGCTGCATGTGTGGGGCCGCGACAAATAGTCGTGAGCATGAATCGGGGCAACAGTCTGCATTTATTCAACTGTTACTTCAAAATAACGACCCCAACCACAAATTAAAGCCAAGACGTAGAATTTCATCGAGTGACACCTCTGGGTGAAAAGAAGCAGTAGCTCTGGTTTTGTGCACTCTGAGTTTATGGAAACACCCAATGACAATCTACAAACGCAATGATTTACTTCCACTGTCAAACCGAATAAACCTGTCACAGCATTTTTTCTTCATCTATTAGTATGGGGAAAACAAATCGAAGTTTATAACCACAGTCAACTGATTCAGGTTGTGAGAATCAGACCTTTACCAGCACTTGGTCAGAGTTTTGGCTTCAGGAAATAATACCAAATCAGTTTCCATGACTCGGCTCAACAAACACACAACTGGACTAAATGTAATGCCTTGGCACTTTCCAGTAAAGCAGCATACATTTCGCCTTCTCATTACCATAAAAAGTTGACTTTCTATTTTTTCGCAAATGGAGAAAAATGATTCGGTTGGAGGTGTGAACAAGCATTCTCGACCGAGTTGCTGGGTGGCCATTAGGAGACGTGTTTATTTTGAGTAAGGTATGCGTCCACCCTAGCAGAGGTAGATGTTCTTGCTAACACGCCTTCGAATTCATGGCTTCGTTAATAACTCTATGCTACATTGTAAATTAGGTTCTGTGTCGTGTCTCCCAAGGATCGCGCCAGTGGAGATTTTGGTGAGTAGGAATCAGGGGGACGCTCAAATACTGGACCGACGTGGTCATTTTGCTGAAGCGTTCAGTTTTTTCAAGAGTTCAGATTTGCATGACGATATGGTGAGCAGGGTAGGTCGATTTGGTAACCATAGTTAAACATCAAATTGAAATAGTCGGCTGATAGAAGACACAGACGGTGCCACTGCATTTGCCCACACATCAGGTTACTGTACGATTGGACTAAGAGAAAATCTCATTGTCCCAGTCAACAACTCGAAAATTTCGCATGAAACTGCACACTAGATGGGGCCTTGGTCAGTCACATTTTTGCAGAAATACCGAATAGGCTTACCGATGTGCCAGATCTGAGCAGCTGTCGTCGGTCCTTTCTGGGTTTCAACAGTAAGGATTCCATTATCACTTGTGAGGAACAGCTGTTTGGATTGGCCTTGACAAATAGGAAAACAGTGTGATGTTTGACGATGAGGCCAAGAATATGCAGGGGAAGTAAGATTGCGTTAAAAAAAATAAACACTTTGTGCACATCTTGGTCGACGAATACACGGCGCAGCCATCCTGATTCCTTTGCCACAGACCTTGTGATCGATTCAATTGTAGTTAAAAGCAACTACATCGCATTACACCTTGAATTGGTAGTGGTTGATTTTACCCAACTTTGTAAATTTGTGTTTTTAAGTAATTGCTGTACTTTTGGACGTCGCAATGGGAAGCCAGCATTCCAGGCATGGCTACTCACGATGAACTGTTTGTGGCATCAGCACATCTCGGCCAGACAATGTCCAGTGTTTGTGTTCACACGACTATATGTGAAGAAAGCCAGCGGATTAATAGTTATTGAAAGGTCAGTTGCACCTTGATCGACTGTGTTCTTTCGGACTGTGGATGCTTTGCTTGTGGAATTCAAATGCTCCTAGGCGGTGATGATGAAAACAAACACAAAACAAGACTAAATTGGACTGAACAACGTCCAATTGGTGGCAGTCTGTTCGCTCAAACTTACTGTGCTTTTGAGGTTCAATTATCACCTGCACTGTGTCAGTCATCCTTGAAGCCTGGCACACATATAGACCAGTGTTGGAGGCATTCGGCTCATCCAAAGTGAGCCAGAGTTCTCGGCCTTCGTGTGTCTGATGCTCATCAGTTTGGCCCACATCACCCGGGGTTAACCAGCGTGCTTGCACACCATGAACATCTCCAGACAGAATGCAGCGTAGAGTAAATGCGCCTGAACCCTCACGAACGCGAATTGTGTCACCATCTTTCACAATCTGCAGCGCAAACGCTCCTAAACAAAGAACAAGTGAACGTTTGCTATAGTACAATGCGCAATGCGGTGAAGACAGGTCTATTCTCTATGCAGGCAGCAAAGTTAGTGGCTGTGTTGTACGAATACTCGCTATTCGCTCAATATCTCGAGTGTGATGGAAGATATCCAGGTGTTGTGCAATGTGGTTGGATTGCTTGAATATGCCACGATTCGCTTGTCGTCAAAGTTGGTCTGTTGATTCAACATAGGAAACCTTTTCCCCGAGCAAACCCGGACTGCGTGAGACCAACCACAAATCGGTCAGCATGCTATAAACAATATGGGTAGTCATCAAAACGACCGATGCGCACTCCACCGGCATGTCCCTTATCACTCACCAAATAGCTTAAATCGATGAGTATCGCAGATACATGGTTTGTACGGAGATCTTGTGGCTGAGAAAGCTAAACTAAGTGCCACCTTTGAATAAATCATTGACCCACCTTGGCTTGTAGCGGGACGGCAAACGCGGATACCATCTCCAGTATAGCCAGGTGGACAGATACACTGGCTCGACTCGGGCACGCAACGCGCCTCGGCGAGACACTGACTGCAGTCAAAGTCACAATAAGTGTAGCCATTGCCTACGAAGCCCGGTCGACACTTGCATCGGCCGTCGTACTCATCGCAGGTGCCAAACTTGTGGCAGGGTATTCGACACTGCGCTGCCTGGGTTTTGTTGGCCACTGATCCAGGGATGCAGGCGATGGCGCCATCACCTAGGAAACCGTAGTCACACCTGCAGCGGTAATGCTGGATTTGGCTGTCATAGGAGCACTGAGCGTTAGCCGCGCATTCGCCATGTCCACGACATTCGTCGCAGTAGTTGTCGCGTCCCACCCAGAAACCAGGCATGCAGCGGCACTTGCCATTTGAGCAGCCGGCCATGGTAGAGGGGAAGCCTCGACAATCACAGAGGTTTGCTGCAGAATTGAACATCAATAAATGGCTTTTACACAGCCGTGAGGCATGCATTGAAAGTGCGCTAACCGAAAGCGAGTGTCACGGTGCCTACTTTAATACTTGCAGCGCCTTCTGGAGCCCCCGACACCTGTTGCTGCTCCTATTTTTCCAACTACTCTTTTCGGCCTAACTAATGGCACAAGCAATGGCGTCGTAAACGGTAAAGCTGGAGCTATTGAAGCAGACAGAGAATTTTCACAGGACTAATACAACGAAAACGAGTGCCTGAAAATGGCCTGGTTCGTAGTGTGGAGAGGGAGGAGGAGGAGGAGTCACCACTAATGAACATGCTTCTTAAGCTATCCTCCATGGGTTTAGGGAATGTTGATTGATTATACTTACCAGGATCCTTGGGCCAGCAGTCTAGGAAGCCGTCGCCTTCAAACCCATCCCTGCACCGACATTGGCCCAGGGAGCAAGTTGCGTTCGGATGACACGATATGCTGCGACAGAGATCATTTCCGGAAGAGCCTTAAACGGCAATGAATCATCGATTTTACAACATCTCTACTCGTATCCTTCAAATCTACAGCTGTTTGTGTGCGAACTGAGAATCCAGGGTATGTTGACTGGTCGGACGCGCTTCTGCAGGACAATTCGTCATCACAATTGCTCAACTACAGTTTAGGGACTTAACGACGCCACCGAAGTCATGCGTGACAAGCCTCGTTCCCTGAGTGGTGAAGCAATTCAGTCGTCAAGTTGGTGATGCAGCTGTGTTATCCTGCACTTTCTAAGCCACGTAGTAACATTTGGGTGGAGTATTGCTGTCTATGAGTATGGGATTTCGCCAAAAATTCAAAAAATGTAAACTCATCAGGACATGTTTCCACCTTTAGAATGCACAGTTCTTTGTAACATTTGCTAACAAGAAATCACACGATCACATAAACACTCGCTTCTGTTCAACACACGTCGACGCAGCTCAGCAAGGCCGTTCATCACTCTGCAGCACGTTCTCTGCGTGCATGCGTAACTTTCATCAACATTTTAGAATTTAAGAACCCTAAAATCTGAATGCGAGCAATGAGACACACAGTCCAACTCAAGGTAGATGAATTTAATGCTCGATCACCGAATGGGTCCTGTCAGAGTGAAGTGCGTTGACTAAAATGGGTGGAATACAGAGATAGGATGTCCTTGGCTAACACATTAGATTGCCCACGACACCAGGCACTTCACCTCGGACCATTGGTCGGTGCATTAAACGAGACTCTTACCTTCGTCCATTACTGAATGAACACGGACTACTGATTACAATCTGCGGTCCCATAGTGTTAACACAACTTACCCCAGTCAGGGTAGCAAATTTGAGCTGGGTCACCGGTGTAGCCGTGACGACAAACACATTGCCCATTAGTGCAGTAGGCGTTAACGCCACACCGGATGCCAATACAAGAAGCTAAAACATGGCGCAAAATCAAGAGGTCACAGATTCACGGCAGCATATTTCACTTTTGTTACCGAGATTTGTCCTGCTTCAATTTGTGATACCTTTCGTATTTTACGCTAATAAAGATGATTCGGAAGCACAGGCAATTGTAATGACAATAGGTTATCTGTATCAGCGCACTTAGGTCTAGTTCATGTAATTCTACCAAATTAATGACTACTTGAGGGTTGTGAATACTGGGTGGCATCTTCACTTCGCCTCAAGTCTTGCTCGGAAAAGTAATCGGTTAGGCGGACGGATGCCGCAGTGGACGCGAAAACTCACCATCATGATTTGGCCGGCAGGCCAAATTGGGGTTGCCGACAAAGCCTTCGTAGCATACACAGCGTCCGTCGTGGCAATAGGCATTGGAACCGCATTCGACGCCGCGACAGGTGTCTAGTTGAAAGTAAAACCACGTTGATGAATGTTAAAGGGACCGTTCATGAAAATCATACACGATCACTGCATTCGCCGGTTACCTTGTGAGCTCATTGGTCACGGAAGTTCGGAATCTAACATTGCCTTACACTTAATCAACTGGCAGTTGCACTAATCCCTTGGCTAGAAACAGTTGGGAATTTGCGAAAATCGTGCACGTTTGAGGCGCTAAAGTCAAAAATGGTAAGGTTGTACTAACGCCTTTATGTGGAAGGCCATGTAACCTTGTTTATCAACCTTATCTTGAATGGTGAAAACAAATCTGATGAAAGTCAAAATGTCTAGACACACCGAATCACTAGGTTTCCACACAGTGCTCTTCCTCCTCTTAATCGTCCTTACCTGGCAATGGTCGCTCGCGCGTGCAAATGTCGTAAGGATCACCGGTGTAGCCCGATATGCACGTGCACTCATTATTTATGCATTCCGCATTCGCTCCACAATATCTGCCATTGCAGGAATCTTCAATGAAAAGACACAATGAAAATTGACTTCAGAAAGTGGCAGACACATGATTTTTGGGGACTGGGTAGAGAAAGTCCTCTGTTCCGACGTTGCCTCCCTGCAACTGAGCCCAAAAATGCAACTGTGCGGTTAGGCGATATGCTCTAGTAGCGCTCCCCGAGACGACTCATCGCGGATTTGGATTTCGCCGTTGTTTACACAATTCCCCTAACCACGCTACTTCAGTGGGGGAGTTTCCCACGGCACTCTACTGACAGTTCAACCTGTGTTGAAATGTCGTCATCCATCGGGTCAAGGTCATCTTTGACTCATTAATGGACACATTCTGACAGGTCACTAGGCTTTCAGCTGAGACATTGAGAGCTCTCTGCACGCGATCTTGCTTTGCCCTACATTAGCGTGTGAAGGTGGGATATAGTGTCAGACAAGGAATCTAAGCTACTGGTTATCTGAGTGTGTGGCTCTTGGTTATTGCCTGCCTTCCCACTGCTTACGATTCCGACTCGCTTTCATTGACAATGTGGTATTTTGACCACGAATAAATCTGCATCCAGAGATGATCTCCTCGCATGCACTGCATTTCATTTACCATTCACATGGTCTTACATAGGGCCGTCAATGTCTAGTAAGAATTCGCCAGAAAAACAGCACAAACACTCTCACACAGTGATGATGTGAAGGATTACATGCGCGATTGGAAAGATTTTGAAGAGGACTTACTCGGATCAACGGCCACGGGAGTGCACTCAGAAAACCCATCGCCCTTGTACCCTGTTTTGCACTGGCAAAGACCAGCCTCGCATTCCGCGTTCTCAGCACATTGGACCCGTTTACAAAGGTCTAGTGTGGAAACATGAACTGTCAAGATGTTGTCAATTATCTAGAGAGAGTATAGCCAGCTCTGTCTAACCTTCCTCGATCTTCTGACACACCGTCACACCGTCGCCCACGTAACCGTACTCACAGTAACACACGCCGTAATGGCAACGAGCCTTTTCGTGACAGTAATTGTTACCACAGAGTTCGGGCTTTGGAGCTGGCAAGAGTGAGACAACAATGCATTAATTATATTAGCACATTGTACCACGTTCACTATTACAGTGAATGTGTAAAAAGCCGATAATAAGCAGAAATCTGTTCTTGATAAGTAAATTGTTGTTTACTATCGACTTGTTACTTGACAATGCATAAAATATCGGTGATATCATCCACGACGGGCTGCCACAGGTCACGGGAGACTGTGGTAGGCGACGTAAAATTGGAAAATGACTAACGATTTCTAAATTGCTATAGTTGAAGTCAGTGGCCAATTCGCATGTTCGTTGTTGCAATCGTAGCTCGTGTTTGAAGAAATGGCTTTGTTTGCGCCAAAACATTGCGGGGAACTGTTTCCAACCGTTGAAAGCACCAGGCATGTGTCGGTTCAGTTGTGGTCAATTGCAAGGAAATATTTCGGATGCCTTAAAAGACTTGTCAGGCGGTAAAATACGTGAATTTGATATTGGGGAACACAGAGTGAGGATGCAGTTGAGTCCTTAGGAAAGTAGTTACTGACACGGTTAGTTACTACCAAATACAGCATACCAAGGGTAAAGGAAATGAGAACACATGTGGTAAAATATGCTCACGAATTGGGGTGCAAACGTCGTAGGGATCGCCTTCAAAACCGCGTTCACACACACAGCGGCTACGATCGCAGAAGGCATTTTGGCCACAGCGCCTTCCACCACAAAAGGCTTGATCTGAAAATAAACCGAAACAACTTTGCCATGTAATCTGTCGTTCAACTAGTGAAGATTAGTCGACTAAAGATGGAAACATGAGCACAACACAAGAGCGCGTACCACTTGCGATCTCGCACATCCTGTCCGGATCACCCTCGTAACCCGGCCAGCATTCACACCGTCCTTCAACACACTGGGCATTAACTCCGCAGTGGACGTTGGCGCAGGAACCTTGATACGGAGAAAAAGAGACTTGCTCGCAGACCCGTAAAACAGATTGGGCAAAACCGAACGGGATGACTTGGCGTGCAACTTAACGGCGGTTTCTACGTTCCGAAAGCAACTGAACCACTAATTAAGTGGGATTTGAAGGCAATTTGCGAATTCCCATTGCCTGTCGAGCATATTTTAAGATTAATCGGCAAACTTTTGAGTGTAATGTTTGTACGTTAGATAGGTGCCTTATTGTGTCCTATCGCCTTGATAATTGCATTCAAGTACTCTGGGGATAAATGATTGACGGTAAAATCGGCTCGAAATATTACTTAATCAAAAGAGAGGCTTTTGTAATAGCCTCATTACATTTCAATAGCTTTTAATCTTATCACTCTAGGTAGGAGATCAACCATCGCCGTAGGCTTGGCATTGTTCTGAAATCGCATCTTTCTGGTTCATTTTGCGTTGTTGTCTTTTAATAAACAGGTCTTCAAACTGTGATTAAAAAGTGCCGTTCTACCCACTTCACATAAATTTCTCTTTCACTTTAAGCTAACAGAAGAACGTTGCGTTCGCACTTCAAAGTTTCGATCTTTTGATATGAACACCTCAAGTGTGGCAGATTTCGTTACTTTCCATCATTTTGCGTTTTCTTACATGGAGGAAATCAGAGGGCATTCGGCTATTGTCTGCTACTTGATGCCATTTTACAGCATGCAACAATTGTACACTCAACCTTGGGTTGGTAGAGTAAAACGCCGGTTAACTAAAATGCGACGCTAAATTGGTTTGCTGAATTATAATGAGCTTCGGACAAATCCAGTTTGCACGAGTACTGGGAGTCAATCCTTCAATAGCATCACTGCAGTCAGGTTGATGCCAAATAGGTAATGTCATCAAATAATTGCTTTGCCTTTTAATATCGCAATATCATGTGTACTTGTTGTTGACTGCAATTTGCCTTGCCATTCACATGCTACGACATCGTCGGTGCCTTCGATGTATTTATACGAGCCATTTCTTTTCTAGTGGATTAGCTGCCGGAAAATTTACATGTGCAAATCAATTTCGAATATGGTTTCCGTTAATGTAATACAAGCAGTCAAAATGAATTGAGTTGCAATCGACGATGGAAACCACATATGAAGCATGTTAAGCATAACGCACTACACAGGCTGCATTTGTGGTAAGCGTACCCTGGTAGATGCATTCAATGAACCCGTCTCCAGAGTAGCCGGGATTACATCGACAATAGCCACTTTCGCAGAAGGCATTGGCGGCACACTGCACACCTTCGCAACGATCTACAAAAAAGTATGTTTTAACTACTCGAGTAGGGCACAGGCATCTCAGCTTCAAAATGGCCTCAAGTTGAGAGACATTAAGTGAGAGATAAAGCATTGCCCTCACAGTGTCTACCTGTGCTATTTACTAGGGCATAGGATTTACGACAAAATGAATGCACCCGGGCTGGATGCGACATTAAGCCAACTGAAAAGCTAGTGTGCATAACTGAGCTTCAACCTACCTGTAATACGAACACACCCGGAATAGGGATCATCGCGGTAGCCAGTCTCACATTGACACACCTCGTCACGACAATATGCATTCGGCCCACAGCGCTGTCCTCTACAATTTTCTAAAATGAGAGTATACATAATACACCAGCATCATCCAACGTCAAACGTCTAGACGGAGTGAGTAAAAACTAGAGAGCGAGTGTCAGTTACTTTCAGATAGTGAGAAGATGCCACTCAAAATTTTGTATTTTATTAAACTGTAATGTGGCTTGATAAACAAATAAATCCATTGGCTAACCATTGCCATTTTGATGAATTCTGGTAAATTTGTCGACTTGACGTAGTTCCTCGTTAAATCAGACTAGACAAAATTCCTCAAAACTCATTGAAAAGAGCCGCATTTTGCACTTTGGATAGAGAAATGTCCACCTCATTTTTAGCACGTGCAGGGTTTCGTAAAACCATGACTACTACACTAATAAGCACAGCGGTTGCACTCACGTATCATGCACAGGTTTTTGACAATCATGAATTTGTCTTTTAAAATTTTAAAGCAGTTGTGTGAAATAAAAATCAGCGTACCACTAGTTCTGCATTCCCTCCGTGGATCGCCTTCATACCCTGGTAGACACTCACAATGGCCATCGATGCATTGAGCGTTGTGACCACACTGAACTCCCTGACACCTATCTACAATATAATAATAGTAAATTTAAGATTTCTGCAAAGCAATACATTTGTGCCTTTTGGGAGCATCAGGAGGTGTAGCGTCTACAAACGCTAGGTTCTATTTGAACCAATGGACACGATCTCGCAGTCACAAGGTGTTCCTCCTGAAAATACGACTGCCCATAGCTATAACCCCCAGGCACTTTGTAAGTCAAGCATTGAAAATATGGGTTACTTGGCTTCTGCAAGAGACCCAAGGACGGTTAATTGTAGGATCATTGGTTATGGAGTCACCGACCGTTTATCGAGTCAGTAAGAGCGTCATGCCTTGTACAAATATCCAAAAACCTCCTCAAATCCAGCTCACGTTGGCATGCATATCGCCAACAGTAAAATAGATTTTAGGCATGGGTGGCTCCTTACGACACCATTTGTTGTACACATCGTAGCATTATCCAAACAGGAAGATGGTACAAAGGCAAAACAAGGAGGTGAACACAACTGTTTTTTGTGCATTGGGCGTTGTGAAGTGTTCAGTCGTTAACTGCATGCCTGTAAAGCATAACTGAATACACATTGGATCGATAGAGCTTAGGTAAGGATAATCTGCTCAGGACAGTGTCCTCTAATCGATCGCCTGGACCAGACGTGAGTCAGTTCTAACCATCAAGTATCTAAAATCAGGCAACTTCTAGGGGGTGACACCAGATCCCTTTATCGGCCGTATTGCTCTTTCTACTGGTTACAATTAGTTCTCTGCTGTAACAAAGTTAGTTTTATCGAACCTAAGCATCATCGATGTGGTGGAAGGGTTGAGTAAGTTTAACGTTCTCCTCTCATGAGGTGATGTTGAACAAAATTTATGTTTTAGGATGTGTCGTTCTATAACAAATAGGATAATCACGAGTCAATCAACTAGGAAACCTAGAAAGTTATGTGGGAGAAAGTGGTTTTAGAAGCACGGGACTACCAACCTAAATATGCCATCCTGGGAGTCACTTGAAGTTTACTAACAGACCTAGACCCAAATTTCAACAATAGGATATTTTGTTAGTGAGTGTCACGATGCCACCATCAAGAATATCATTTATCCATATCTTTCAAAAAAATTAAGATTTAATTTACAGAAAGGCTGGAATGTTGGTGAATCTAAGTGTCGGAAGGCAAGTACAAGCAACAATGAAATGACGACAATGCAGAGTCTTTCCTCAGGGGGTTGTGGGCAAACCCATGGTACTAGAGACAATCTCTAGCACAAATTCTACGCACTAAATAGCTACACCGACACAACGCGCGCTCATGCATAGCCACTTTGGAAATATCACCACGTGCGCTAACTACAGTGGACCACAGAAGTTGAAAACTTACTTTCATTGGTTCAATTCCCAGGATAGTTAACAAGTGGCTTGGATTTACTGAACAGCGATTATATGTGCCTCTCATCGAAAGATTTTTTTGTCATTTTTGGCAGTGTGATGATAGTTACATACCTTGCCCATTTGAAGTTGTTTAAAATAAGGCGCCGGTTATTTTGTTGTTCACTGACGAGCATGCAAGACCAAGCCGGGCAGAACTAAGCCACGACTCAACACCGTTTAATGGGCTATAGAGCTACACTGCAACTCAGCTGCCATGAGAATTTTTGTAAATTGTACAATCCACTGCGACAGACAATCAAACGGAATCATATTCTAGTCTTGCGTATCCTTCATCGAAATATTTCCTGTGCTGTTGATATTCCAAGTTCTCATACTGCTAGTCTGCTGGGTATCTGTGCTAGAAAGTCACTCGAAGGTGTGCACACGGTCGTAAGCAGTTGCTCGGCCTACTACGTTTGGCTCGTGGCAAGGAGATTTAGCATCCTCATTGGGACATTTTGACGCAACATCTGAAGGCCAAAGGTGAAACCCATGACCCATGCTTCACCAAACATCACTCACGAGGGAATCAATGTAACCAAGTAACTTGTGGTATTTATTCATCAATTTAACGCACAAACCGGTTTGCACTGTATTCAATGCGTACGGGTGGCAGTCATGGCCTTTGGACCACGTGGCATGCAAAGCTAAGAGAACTTTCAACTAAAACCGCTAACTTATTCAGAACGAAACCACATTTCAGGCGTTTCGACAAACAACATGTAGACATTGGGATAAAATCATTTAGGAGTGGGTAAATTGTCAGATTTCAGAGTTTGTAAGAAGCTCTGCAGAAATAGTCGATCTGTCATTGAAAAGCAGGTTCAAAACACATTCGTGAAACCGCGTTCACTGTGCTCCGGTCGTACAAATGTCACAAGTGGCTTAAACGAATTGCGCTATGATTCGCTAATGTTGCTATTAACCACACCTTACACTGGTTACTCTCATCTCAAGCATTACAGGCGCCGACTCGACGTTTTATAGGGCACGTTGTCACTGGCATAAAGTGCATTGTGAATTCAGCGAGTTCCTTGATTAGCAGATTGAAACCAGTCACAAAGAAATTGTTTCATTCGATTATCCGCACAGGACGCACTATGATTTATTTGCCACCCATCCTATTCCTATAATAACACTGTCGACATATTCAGGTTCAATTGGCCCCAAGGAATTGCAATTACGAGAGGCCGGTTGAGTAGAGTAGGATGCACTGAAACACGCCAGGAGAATGACAATTTCGAACCCATTTTCTATTGGAAGCGTCTTGAGTGGCTCCTGTTGTAAGAACAGCTATGCTCCCAATCCATGTCTCACCTTTGACTTCAGGTGAAGGAAGGCGGTCCACTAGGTGTTAGCATACAAGAAGGCTAACCAAGGTGAATGCACGTTTGACCATGGTTAACACACAAACCTACCAGTGAGACGGCATTCCCTGTTGGGATCACCTTCGTAACCGTCTTCACAAACACAGTAGCCATCTTGGCAACGAGCGTTGTAGCCACACTGCACCGTTGCACATTTGTCTAAAAGTAATAAATAAAGCCAATTAGCTTGTACGCTCAACCCACGAGGATCACACAAGGGGAAGAAAGGAACTTCACGGATTTTAGCCTCACACTTGAGCGCGCAAATCCATTGTCGGTTTCAGACTGAATAGGCAAAGACGACCAGGATAGGCTGACGTGTTGAGGTTTTAAAATGTGTTCAATTGTAGTCATTGTTGTTAGTTGCTCAGAAAAGTTTGCTTGCATCCATCATTCTTGCCGCGCATATGACCGAGCAGAAAAACATGGTCCCTCCACACAGACGACACCAATTCCACGCAGCACACCCAAGTAACAGAACAGCGGGTAGCATCGTGTAATATTGAAGGTCAAATCAAATAATTTGGCTCGTTCTTCAAAGTTCCGATAAGTCATTTGCACTGTAAATATTGAAGCGTCTCACACAATGCACTTGACAGTAAGATGTTCGATAGACAGGATGGTGGTTCGAAGTCTCAGTTCCATGGCACAATTACTCCTAAAACAAATCATGCTTCAGGCGACTCCTGAGAGTAAAGCATTCACGTTGCCTTCGTATGCTCCGTGGATGTGCAGCTCACTGAATGGAGTCGATAAATGGATCTCATGTCGAATTAGAGTCGCTACACGAGATCCTATTCACAAAGGCAAGAAGAGCCAATTGGACCAGATCAGATGACAGTAGTCTGGAGAACGCCACACTACCCACTTCAACGGTGTGCAGGAAAACGTGGTCGTGTATGACTATCTTGTAAATCCCCATGATATTGCCTACACCAGCTACATGTGATGGAGGTCTTTGAGAAAATGGGCCGAATAAACATAGCAGTCTAACCCATCTTAGAATAATGAATGCTAGGTTTCAGGTAAATTCATCGAACTTCTTTGGTAGATTAAAACACAAATTAGTGGGAGTATCGGAGGTGGGTGTCGCATTGGCAAGTTGCATACACAACTTTAATGAAAGTACGGCAAGTCCGACATTCACTTAGCGTCGCAAAAAACCTAAGGAATCCACCAGAACGACTACTACTAAGAAGCATTTCAAATTCACTATAACCCTTTGCTGTGGTTACTGGAAGATGCTCACATAACATTCGTTTTGATTTCAATCTGCGCATATTTGGTCATTGGGCACAGAACCATGTCATAATTGTAAAGTTGTGTGTCGTATTGCCTCTGGCAGCAACACAAAGACAGCGCTTTTTCAAAGCCAACTGCAAGGCTAAACATGAGCTTTATCAAGTCAGCAGGCCAAATAAGCACCACGAAAAGCACTTCTGGACAAGGCTAGCGTTCTACACGCCAACTTCAGCTCGTCGAGCTTCGACATAGTCGGCTTTCTCGATCCCAATTCAAGTTGCTGTTTCACTCTGGTGTGTGCTTAGAGCTCCACCCATAATTACCAGACAGTTCATCTAGCACAGTTTCACACAGTCCTAGAAATCGTAGTTTCTTGTTCCGACTTACATTAGTATCTGCACTCTGAGCGTGGTCTCCAGTTTAGGCCTGAAACCCTCAACATGCACAACAACTTCCTGGTCGATAAACTCTGATTTCATACAACCTTAACGGAACGGTCCACCCTCTCTATCGACAACCTAATCGCACTCACACATGAATTTGAAATGTGTCTGCACATGGCTAAATTCGTATACTCTTGTGTCCCGGCTGCCCGAGGAGTTTCTGAAACGGCAAATTACTTCCTTCCTTTCACTGACAATGTAGGTTCTGTTCCTTAGTGTCGCACAACGGCATTCGGATCTGCCTCAGTGGTCTGAACACTCTGATGACCATCATGGTTTGACTCATGTCAAACTAATTCGTGTTGACGTCTTCGAACCTACAAATCTCAATATCATTGCAATATGACCCCAATGATACCGAGTTCACTTTGTCGTTCACTTTTCAGCCCGTGTTGCACAGACATGGTGTTTAAAAGAGCCTCTGCTTTCACGGTTGCATATTAGCTCCGTTCCGGCACTGATGCCTCATTCCATTATTTTATTCACCGAGTTAACGTTGACGGAGAGACCTGTCGCAATCCCTAACACGTCCCTTGGTTGAAAATTTCGAATCGCAATTTACAAATCACCATGCGCAAGTGCTCATTTGTGGCGCACTGTCAGCAAGTGCATGTAATTCTCGCCACTGGGTTTCTGGATTGCAAAAGCGTTACTCGAAGGCTTTTCAGTCATCAGCGGAACACAAGTGACAAATTCCAGTTTGAGTAACCGCGATTCACTACCGGTGGCTGGTGATAATTTTGCTATTCGGGTAGGCAGTGAACGTTAGCATTACATAGCAAATTAACTGATGGTCGGCTTATTTAAAATAGCAGCAATGGACTAACATATTTCGGTTCGAATTACAAAAAAACAGTTTCTAATTCATGAAACGCAATCATTGGTAGCTCAGAAAGATTGACGGTAACACAAACTAGACTTTCTAAATTGCTGTACACATTGATAAACATTGAGACACATCCTAAATTTGTCATCTGTGGAGAATTTCAGTTAAGAGATTTTCAAGATTCATAATCACCACCATGCTCAGTGCTGTTAAATCGACACCTGTGGCACATGTGGACGAACTGCCTTACCTCCGATTTGCCTTGAAAGACACTCTCGTTCGCACTCTTCCAGTGTCTCGAATCGATTGCTGTTGCCCTGGCAACCGGTGTATGTGAATTTCTCACAGCGGCCAGTTCGTGAATCGTAGCCATACTTCTCAAGACGCGCGAAACACTGGCCAGGATCAAGAGGAGCGCGACACCGTGGGTTGGCCGAGGGTCTATCTGGAACCGAAAACGCATCTTGCCAAACAGGTGATCGCTTGCCCGAAAGCAATGTCATGACTTATTTACATGGCAATCTAAAACATTGCAGCATTCCATAAAATACTGCATGTAAATGTGCTTCACCACATTCAATCATTCTGTGGAAAACACAACGCTGTTCGATTATGCCGTTTGCAGTAGACAAAATAATAGGTCCTAGAGGTTGTAACTGAAAACGTTTTTTCCCTAACAGCAGGTTTAAAACAGACCATCGAGAAAACTAGCGACGTGGGTGTTGACCAATAAATACTTCGATTTCCGCTGCCAAGGTATCTCAAGATTAAGCAAATTTCCGGAATGATATCACTTACCACCACCAATGAATTGACACGAATAGTTCGGATCACCGTAGAAGCCACTTTCACATCGGCATTGTCCATTGACGCACCTGGCATTTTCTCCACAAAGGACACCAGAGCAAAGTGTGTCTAAAAATGAAAAGATGACGACTACCAGGTATGGTTGCAAAAGACGGGTTGATTTAAAAATCAACAGCAAAACAAAAAATTTACTCTCTAAAGGAAGTGATACCAACGACTATTCAAAAAATGAGGGAAAAAAATACAAAAAGAAACGATTTTCCAAAACAGAGTTTAACTGTTACGAAAAGCAGATAAATTCACGAACATTAGACTACATAACAAAAATAAACAAAGAAAAGAGTCAGCTAAAATCAAAATCAGCAATTAGTGGACGAGAAAACCCTCCCGATCCGGTCACACTAACTTCGTCTTCCACCAATGTGCCAATAAGACAAATGCATGACACCAGTTCAAGCAAGCAGTCTG